CTGCTCACCCCGACTTTATTTAAAGCTAAAAGCAAGCTGCATTATGGAGTCTATATTTAACATAAAGACAGCCGCTAGATTAGAAAGCTTCAAAAAATTGTATGTGTAACTTTCACTATATATTTTTAATTCAATATATTAATTAATTTCAATGATTAAATAGCTTCTTGTCTAAAATTTTGAATTCTAGCACAGACAAATAATGAGTAAGAGGATAATCCGAATTCCAATAGCAACTGTCTTTAATTTGTAGAAACATAGGATAGCCTATATGAACACAAAAGGCAACAATCCCTTTCTGTTCTTTGGAAGATATTGATTCAACGGTAGGTACCTTTTCTGCGAAGTCTTTGACAAAAGTCAGAGAATTTTTTGGCACAACAAATCAGCAAATATGTAATGCATTACATTATTCTGAATCTTTAGAACATTAAAGGGCCAGAAGCTAAAAATTCTACTTGCCTTTGCAAGTTATTGTATCTAATAATGAAATCTGAAGAAAGAAAGGCTAAAATTTATTATTGTCACTCTCTAACTTGTTCCAACTAAAAGTAATTAATGGGTATGTTATTAGGCTAGGCATACCACTCATGCATTATTCTAGAAATGGTAACAAAGAACTAATCAAACACTTTATTTAGCACTATGATCACCATCAAAATCATTTACTATGCTTTTCTGATTAAAAGTATGCCAAGGTTATATATAATCTAATTGCCTTTCTTCTTCCACCAGGATAAAAATGGAGGGATGCTTTGTTCGTGTCTAAAGAAATTTTCTAGATCAATTATCATCTTTACGCGCATCAATTTATCAAAGTTATTCTTAATATATATATATATATATATGACCCCAAACACCTGTTCATTACTGGTGTTACCTTTATTGTTAGTACCATTCAAGATCTCTATAATTGATAGATGCCTCTTGTGGTGATTTTGAAACAAAAAGAGCTCATAACTATAAACTCTTCTAATCCAACTAATGTACCTTTTCGACACTTGAGTATTTAGCTCATTGATTGGTATATAATCCTCCTGCCTAAAAAGCAAAGTTTGAATCCCCCCTCTCCTAATTATTTAAAAAAAAAAACTTATGTACCTTTGGAAATTGTTATTGTCTTCCTTTTGCCAACCTATGGTATATAAGATTTTGTAAAAGTTAGCCAGCTCTATGCGGGAATGGAGTTGCAGTCTTTGGAATCTCCTCCGTTATCCCCCCATAAGCCACTAAAAGTGTAGTAGCGGATTTTGCTTCTTCCTCATAAAGCTTTGACCATATCCTTTCTAATGCAATTTCAAGAATAGGTTCTTTTACATAATCAGATTTTGCTTTGAAGACTGGACAAAGGATAGGAGTCTGGAAAGTCCTACCAAGTAAAATATCCAAGGACTTATTTTGAATTTGACCGAAGTAGGGAATAGATTCAATCCAACTCATTTCAATGCAATCTTCCTTTACTAGTCTAAGCTCTGGAAATCTCTCTTGCATCAATGGAACAAGCTCATCAACGCCACTGAGAAAGAATAAACTAAAAGAAGATAGAATCATCCCTTTCCCATCTTGACTAGAATTGACACTTCTTAAGAAAACAAAGGAGAATGTTCCGTCAGGAGGTTTGTGTGTTATATACTGCCAACGGTGGACAAGTTTGATTGCATTTTGTTCTGACGTTTTGCTAACAGTGAATACAGTCACAGTTGCTGGAACAAGAACCAGCTTTAATTTCCATGCGATGACAATGCCAAAGCTACTGACTCCACCTCCTCGAACGGGTCAAAACAAATCTTCTCGCATGGCTTTTCTGTCAAGAATTCTTCCATTAACATCAATGAATTGTGCATCAATTATGTTATCAATGCCACGACTGTATTTTCAAAATAATAAACCATAACCTCTTTCATTAAAATATCCACCGATATCTAGTGATGGAGTCAAGATTTTATGTTTGGAAGGGCAAAAATTCAAGAATGTCAACATTTTATGAAAGACTCATTTTCTTAAAATAAGATTCAATTCTCGTATTACTCATGACAATCTATTTTCATAATTTAGAAATCTTTAAAATTATTCAAAAGAATCAATTTTAATAATTTACTTAAAATAATTAACTACTATAGTCATAAATAATTTAATAATAACAATAATCCCAATTCGTAGATAAACTTTAACAATAAACAAAAATTAACAAATATAATAAAAAAATCTTAATGGGAAGCAATACTTTAAAAAATATTAAGTGCTATTAATACACAATTCAATGGGAAGCAATTCCCTAAAATTAATCATAAAAATTAAATACAATATCAAGAAAACAATTCAATGAAGAAACAATCTTGAATAAAAAATTTAATTGTTTACAAGATTCTAAGCAAAAAAAAAAATTATAATTCGTAGGAAAGCAATCAAGTAATCTCTAAATAAATAAGTAATAACTAACCTTAGGTACTTAATTAAATTCTTGTTTTGTTGTTTTCAACAAAAAATGGTTAAGAAGGTAAACTCTAAATCAAAATCACTAAATAAAAACTATTAAATAAAGGAAAAGTTTAAAGTTGAAAATGTTAAAAATAAAATAACTGTAAATAAATCAAACTTATCAATTATTATGACATAAAATTTAAATTATTGACTAGAGGTTTTATGCACAGAGAATTCTCAAGCAAAAAGTGTAAGAAAAAAATAACTTTTTGTTTCTATTTGGTAAGAAAAACAAAGAACAAGAGTTGATGGTCGTAAGGTTTTGAGAAGTGGGATTTACGAATAATTCTATTACAATAGGTTTATTTTTATTCATAAGTCTATTAAAATTAACTGTTAGACTAATTGATTTGGGCATATGACTAAAGAAAAAATTATTATAAAGATAAAATTTTAAAATTTTAAAAATTATATATTAGAAAATTTTTAAAATTTTTGTAGAGACAAAATTAAAAAATTCAAAAAAAATTTATACTTAATTTTATTTGTTTTGAAAATTTTTAATTTTGTAGCCACAAAATATCTTATTCCTATTGCATTTCGAAATAACCCTCCAAAACCTCCCCTTCAGTGAAATTACATTCCAACTTCAAAACAAAATTGTCAGACAGCTGCAAAAAATCACAATTAATTTCGGTAACCTCAAGAATCCTCCTGAAACCATAAAGACTTTCAAAATGTCTACAAAAATTTTAATACTAAAAAGTGGGGAGACTTCATTTTTCTGAAGCTAATTTTGTGCATATGAATTTATTGAGTTCCTTTATTTATACTGCGAAGAGATTGATTGCTTGCAGAGAAGGTGATTTTTTTTTTTAATAATTGAAGAAGGAGAGATTTGAACCCTATTCTTTAGATAAAAAGATTATACACTAACTTATGAACTAAATGTTCAGGTGCTGCATAGAAGGTGACTTAAACCTTCGAGAATGATTTGTTTTTTTTCCTTTTAAAGGATTAGGTGACGACTTAATCAAGCCTTTTTGAACTGAAAGTTTATTCTTAAGATAAATTTCAACCAGGAAGATTATAAAACCTGACATTCATGGCATATTTCCACGTTGACAATGAACAAGAACAAGATTGGAGTATTATATGATAAGTCTATAATTCTTTAATGGTTTCGGACGGTTTCTACTAGTTTCTTCTTAAAATTTCGTGTATTACATAATCAAATCGGCCAGACGATAAGCTTGGATTCTTCAATATCGCAAATGATGATAAATTTTCAGTAGGCTACTCGATCTTTTAATGGGTGGTATGTTTTGGAAAAGTCATCAAGAAAGGGTGGCTATCTTACGGTTGACTTGGATTTTGGATAACGATTAAGCCCATAAACAAAATCCGAAAGTCGTAACCAATTTTTTATTTCCTATTTAAGAACAACTTAATAAATTTTTAAACACTATCTATTTTTCATCGAGTAAAATACAAAAAAAATTATTGATTTTTCGGACGTTGTTCCAGGACGAGCGTCTAGGATTAAGGCTAGCAAATTCTCCTCCTCTAGTATTAATGTAGATATATTGTAAATCAGAGAATGTTGATGGTACGTATTAAACAAACTTTTCCCTCTTACACTATATAATTATATTTCTGTATTATGCTCTGTTATATTTACGAAAATTTTGAAGGAAATATGTAAAGAAAATGAGAAGAAAGGGGAATGAAAAGAGGGATAAAGTTTCGTCTAGTACTTATAATTAGTAGTATTTTATGCAATTAATTAACTCCTTTTTAGACTTTCGAACAAAATACCCAAGTACATGTAAATAGTCAAAACATAGAACTGGTCGCTGCTTCTCAAAAAATCAATTAACTTGTGGCAACCATTCAAAGCGTTGTCATCATTGCTGAGCAATATTGTTTCCATAACGCAGGATGCCATTCAAAATTTGACCCTTTTTTCCGGAATGGGGACCCTCAGAGGATTGGCGACTTGTAAGGGAAAGATTTAGTCAATATTTCACCCTTTGCTATCAGAGACCTGGATACAAATGTTCCACAAATATATTTATAATTTTATTATGTATTTATTTAAATAAATAAGTGCTAAATTCGTAAATATATATATATACACATACATGTATTAAATTGAACTTTATAGCATCAAGTAGAAATTTAGAGGAAGAAATGCTAAAATCTATGAAATAAATTAGTCAACCGATTACTTTACTTAATTGTCGAAAATTTTTATTTTGATCACTCAATTTTAAAAAATCACCATTTGATATCCAATTATAAAATTTAATGTTGTAGTTAACTAGCCATTAGAAACTCAAGGTTATTTGACGTGATATTTAATGTCAACTTATTGTGACCATGTGAATGATGCCACTTGACATAGAAGCTAATATAAATATGCCAAGTGACTAAGATCAGCAGATGTGGAAAAATAATGTTAAAAGTCGTTAACTTTTAATGGTTGAGTGATCAAAATGATAATTTTAATAAATATTAGTAATCAAAATGTGGTTTTTCAAATATTAAATGACTAAAATAAAGAAAAACTCAAAAAATAAAATGATCAAATGAATAATTTACTCAAATTTATTACAAAGAAAACATACTCCAACTTGTTACAAAGATCAGCTACTCATTGATACATTATAAATTAATCAGGCTAGGCGTATGCCAGAAATGCCATTGAAGAAACTCAGAAATTCTTTATTTTACAATACAATTATTTTTAATGAAATATTTTATTGTCTTTTTCTAAAAGTGTTATTGCCAAGCTTATACTAATGAGCTCTTGGCTTATGCGAAGAAAAAAGAGGAGGGATGCTTTGTTCATGTCTGAAGAAATTCTCTGGATCAATCATTGTCTTCACATGCACCAATCTATCAAAGTTATTCTTGAAATATTTTCGACCCCAAATACTTGCTTGTGCATAACTTGTATTACCTCTATTGTTGGTTCCAATGTCAAGATCTCTATAATTGACATATGCTTCACGAGGAGATTTTGAAACAAAAGAGCTCATATAACTATAAAGTCCTCTAGCCAACCTTATGTACCTTTCAGAGTTTATGTTGTCTTCTTCTTGCCAACCTACGTTATATAAGATCTTGTACAAGTTACCAGCTCTATGTGGAAATGGAGTTGCAGTCTCTGGAATCTCATCCATTATTCCTCCATAAGCAAAAAAACCAACAACAACAGATTCTGCTTCTGCCTCAGAAAGTCTTGACCACAAACCCTTCAATGCAATTTCAGGGATAGGTTCTTTCACATAGTCAGATTTACCTTTATAGGATGGGAGGACAAGAGGAGTTTTGAAACTCCTATCCAGCAAAATATCCAAGGATTCATTTTGAAGTTGGCCAAAGTAAAGAATGGATTCAATCCAACTCATCTCAATGCAATCTCCCGTTGTTAGTCCGAGCTCAGGAAATCTCTCTTGCATTAAGGGAACAAGCTCATCAATGCCACCAAGAAAGAGTGAACTAAAGGAAACTTGAGTTGTTTGCCTCCCATCTTGACTAGAATTCACCCTACTTAAAGTAGCCGAGGAGTACATTTCATTAGGAAGATCATGTGCAACATATTGCCAACGGTGAAGAAGTTTGATTGCATTTTGTTCTAAGGTCTTGCTAATGGAGAACGCAGTCACAGTCGCTGGAACATGAACCAACGTTAATTTCCATGCAAGGACAATTCCAAAGCTACCCCCTCCACCTCCTCGAATGGCCCAAAACAAATCTTCTCCCATGGCTTTTCTGTCAAGAATTCTTCCATTAACATCAATGAATTGAGCATCAATTATGTTATCAACAGCAAGACCATACTTTCGAAACAATAAGCCATAACCTCCTCCGGTAAAATATCCACCGGTACCTACAGTGTGACAAGTTCCAGCTGGAAAGGCAAGAGTTTTACTTTTTTCGGCAATCGTGTAATAAAGTTCACCAAGAATCGCACCAGATTGAACCCATGCAACTTCATTTTTTACATCAACATCGACTGATCGAAAATTAACCAAGTCGACAATAATAAATGAAACTTCAGCAACATAAGAAATACCTTCAAAATCATGACCTCCACTTCTTGTTCTAATTTGGAGCCCATGATTCCTTGAGCAATGAATTGTTGCTTGAATATGGGAAATATGCAATGGTGTTACAATGACCAAAGGTTTGTTGGTATCTGGTGTGGAGAACCTAAGGTTTAGTGCAGTAGACTCCAAAACAGATGTATATGAAGAATTGTTTTGTGTGTAAATTACTTTAGAAATGGAAGAAGAGTCATTGGAACGAAGAGAAAGGCAATGAAGAAAATTCTCATGAGTTTGAGCCGAAGTTGGCCCTGACAATGAGAAGAAAGCAGCAAAAAGAAGCGGCAACATTGAAAGGTGAGGAGACTTCATTTCTGAACCTGATTTTGTGCATATGAATTTGAGAGATTTCCTTATTTATAGTGTCGTTTGAAGAAAGCAATGCCTTTCATATTGCTCAAAATACGGAACCTCTAGATGCACCACGTGAAGACTTTTCTTTGTTGTTTTTCCTTTCTTCTTAACTACAGGCGATCGAAGGCTTTGATCAAGCATGTCAAAGTTGAGGTTTCTTTCTTGGTGTAAGTTTGAAAACATAGATTCAGAACGTGCCGTCATTCATGGCGGCTGCATCCTTGACTGTGAATCAAGTGTTATACATATATGTATAGATGTATAGAGATAATGGTCCTATAATTGGTTCAACCAACTCGCGCTGATTCCTTCAAAGAAATCAAAACTTTATCCAATCTTGGATTCTTACAAATCGCAAATGATGACGAAAAATACGTAAGATACAATTCCAGAGCCCATCAGAAAGGACTGCGGCCAGCTACGTGGCCGGCCGCTAGCAAGGTGCAATTGCTTGACTTGAAATTAAAACCGCGAGGAGAGTTAAAAAGCGGCACCTAGTTTTCAAATGGACAATTCTTCTTCTTTTTTTAATAATTTTTTATTTTGACAATTGTTCTTTCTTTCTAGTCTAAGACAACCCATGAGATTTTAAATACATCGAAAATCCAGTCATTTCCATTTTCTGCATATAATCGTTTTGGCCCAAGCATGGAGGAATATTCTAGGCTAGCAAATTCTCCTCCTCTGTATTCCAAATATACTATCTATTTATTGGTTATTTTAAATAAAAATGAATGATTGTAGTGAATGAGAAACTAATATTAATTATATCAAGATGTCCATCTATCTAACATGCTGGTCTACGAATCTGATGCTTGACCTAAAAATGAGTTGTCATCAATTTTTTTCTTTTAAGTGTGATTGATTACTTATTTAAATTCATTTATTTTTCTAATAATATCTTAAACTTAAATTTATTTAAAAAATAGATTTTGATGTATAAACCAATTTTAAGATTTGGGAGTACTATTACATGAAAACAAAGTTTTTTTTTCTTGAACATACATGAAGAAAAGGTATTGACGCTCCTACGATGCCCGTTTCAAATATAGTATCGATCAATCATGTGTTATCTTATTTTATTTTTAATTAATAATCTCTAATTTAGTATTTACTTATATTTCCCTTTATTATACTATTTAATTTTTTTTGACTTTTTCTTTCCTTTTTTCCTTTTTAACCCATTATTTAGATATTAAAAACTTTCCCTAAGCTTTCTAACACTTTTAACAAAAACTAAGCAGAATCACCTCACCTCAGGAATATTCAAGAAAATCATTGATTTTTTTGAAGAGACTCCATTATCGGATTAATTTGATATTTTATAAAAAGAAAATTTCGATTAAATCTTTTACTCCTTGTTTCTTTTTCTTCGTTTCCTAATTTTTTAAAAAATTTTATACCCTTTTTATATTTTTATATTTTTTATTTCTCTTAGAAATAAATAAAAGTCTTCTAATATTGAAAATTTTCTAAAATTAATTTCCACTACATTTGATAAAATTTAAGAATTTTTTTTTTCTCACAGGAATTTTCAAGAAAACATCACACCCAACTTTCTCGAAATTTTATGATCAGTTAGATTTTCACTTGCTTGTGTAATTAAAAGTAAAATGCATATGATGCAAGCTAATAAATATCATGCAATTTGCAAATTTTTCACAACTTTATTTTCTGTGCATTTATTTTGGTTTTTCATGTGTAATAATTTATTTATAATTTTCTTTGCGAAAATAACCTTTAGGATGCCCTCCAACACTTTTGACAAGGCTCTATAATCATTTTCACTTGGAAAATTTAAGAAAATCATTTTCCTATATCATTAATATTTTTAAATATTAAATTTATTTGCATAGGAATTTAACTTTATCACGTGTTTCTTTTTTAATTACTATTTTTAGCAATTTCATAAATTGAATTATACGCATAAAATAATTAAAATTAAATAAGCAATAAAGCATGGGCTAGGAAAATACATCTCCAATGGGCTAAGTATAGATGAGCCCTTTAAGGCCTGCAATCCTCTGTTGGGTAGATCTTGGGCTGATCAGCTCAACACATTCCTTTTTATTTTCTCTCAAGTCTCTCCTCCCCCTAAACCCAAAAATCCTAACTATAAAAGCTACCTTTTTCCATTTCACACCTCCCATTTCTCTATCTTCCTCTCCCTCTTTCTTCCGAACGGCGACACCTAATAATTTCCGACGAGTTACCGTCGCTGCCTCAACCACCGACGATCGCTAGTAGCTGCTCACCGACGCCTGTAAATACAAAAAAAAATCAGATTTCAATTCCTATCCTTACCTTCTTTCCTTTAATTGGCTTTTTTTTTCTCCAAAATCCTATTCTTTTCTCCTAAAATGTCACCTCTCTCTTGAAACCTAAATACTAGATTTACCTTGGGTCGCCGCCAATCTTGCATCACGCTTTGGAGTGTACCCATGGCACTTCTTTTAACCCATTGCATCTCCTCTTGTGGAATTGTGATTACTGACCGTTTCCTCCATCTGTTATTTATCTTCACTGTTAACGCCTTCTGGGTTTGTGTTTGTGCTTCTATCTGCCACCATTATCTTTCCGGGTTCCTTCACCAATGATTGGGGTCAGTGGTGCCCTTTTAACACCTGATTCAGTCTTACCCATCAGAGCTTCCATGTATGATCGATCATGTCTGAAGTCGTTCGTGTAAATTCTTTTGCTACGTAGATTAATCCTCTTCGTTTGACAACTGCCTCTCCCCATTCATTCCTCCCATACTCATCTACCTTTACTATTATGTGTCAACCGTCAATTCTTCTGTTATACATTTCCCAAGGAAATTGCCTTTTCAAATTGGGATTTCTCCTTGTACCTCACGAATGCATACTTTGCGTTTCTCGGCTTACTCTTTCGTAAGTTTCGAATGCCATCTTCGGTACCATGCGATCCTGGGGTTTAAGTTGCCCACAGAAACAATTTGCAGACTAGATTTTCAATTATCCACAATATCATCGACTCTTTGACACCATGATCTTCCCCCTAATCCTAGTTGGGCATGATTGTTCCTATACAATAACGAGTGATCGTTTTTCTTCCAATTCCCACGCCGACCTTCCATCTCCATTTTCTTTCGCTGATTCTTTAGCTCCACGAGGATATTGATATCAAAGTGTTTATATTGAACATAATTCAGAAGTCTACAATTCAGGACATTTTGTTGCTATATTATTAAATCTAAAAATATCATTATTTAAGGCGTAGTGTGCGCCATAAGCATATTCTTTCCCATGAGTTAACGGCAGTTTACTATGGCTTCTTGCAACAAAATCGTCTCATTGTTAGACCCTGTTCCAGCATGATCAGAATGCTAATTGCCTCACTCAGCCCTCATCTCATCCATAGCAAATAGTTAGAAGAGTACATTGGATTCAAGGTAAAAAACTATGTCGAATTTTTTCATTACTTTCCTTGAATCTATTACTAAAAATAAGTCTTGTGGGCTTTCAAAAAAAAAAAGTCATGCGTTTAAAATTATTGACATTTACCATTTGGATTTGGTTAAGTCAACAATTTAATGGCTTAACTTATTATTATTATTATTATTTTGCTGGAACAAATTTAAAGAAGGTAAGCTTACAAAAAACTTTTACAGTCCAAGATGTTAGACAGGAAAGACAAACATAATTCACCAAAACAATTGAAGCACATTGATTTTAAGAATCTTATTCTAATTGTTGTATTCAAATTAAAAAGTAAACAAAAATAAAAACAGTAACTGTTTAATTTTTGAGGATATTATAGCAAACTTTCTTCTTTTACCAAGGTGAGAGAGGAGGGATACTTTGCTCATGCTTGAAAAAATTCTCTGGATCAACTAATGTCTTCACACGCACCAACTTCTTGAAGTTATTCTTAAAATATTTAAAACCCCAGATGCTTGCTTGCGCATAACTTGTGTTGTCTTTATTGTTAACTCCGATATCTAGATCTCTATAGTTGAGATATGCTTCTCGTGGAGATTTCGAAACGTAGAGAGTCATGTGACTATACAATCTCCTTATCCACCTTATGTACCTTTGAAATTCCAAATTTTCCTCTTCTTCTCGAGCAACAATGTACATGATTTTGTACAGATTGCCAGCTCTATGTGGGAATGGAGTTTCAGTCTCTAGGATCTCATCCATTTTCCCCCCATAAGGAATCAAGTTCATTATAGCATATCTTCCTTCTTCTTCATAGAACCTTCGCCACAACCCCTCAAATACAATTTTTGGTATAGGTTCCTTTACATAGTCGGATTTTACTTTTATAAAACCTTTGGTATATGCAGTCCTATTGAGCAAAATCTCCGAGCGTTCTAATGGAAATTCAGAAAAGTAAAGAACAGATTGAATCCAACTCATTTCAATGCAGTCTTGTTTCACTAATCCAAGCTCGGGAAATCTTTTTTCCATCAATGAAAAGAGCTTATCAGCCCCACCAAGAAACAAGGACCTAAAAGCAGCTTGAATTGTTTCTTTTCCTTCTTGACCAGAATTTACCCTTGATATGCTAACAAAAAAAATTATATCCTTGGGAAGCTTGTGTGCAACATATTGTGAAAGGTGGATAAGTTCGGTTGCATTTTGTTCCAATGTCCTTGTGACTGTGAAAACAGTCACATTTTCCGGAACAGGAACCAACTTCAATTTCCAAGCAAGGACAACCCCGTAGCTACCTCCTCCACCTCCTCGGATTGCCCAAAATAAATCTTCTCCCATGGATTTCCTATCAAGAATCCTACCATTAGCATCAATTAAGTGAGCATCAATAATATTATCTGCAGCAAGACCATATTTTCTGAACAAAGTACCATAACCTCCTCCGCTAAATTGGCCACCAACACCTACAGTATGGCAAGTACCAGCTGGAAAGGCAAGAGTCCTACTTTTCTCAGCAATCCGGTAATAAAGTTCACCTATTGTCGCTCCGGCTTCAACCCAAGCAACACTATTCTCAACATCGAT